GCTGGTCAATTAGAAAAATTGCTGCTGCAGCTAAACCAAATGTGACAAAGCTATGGATAGATTAAAGAAAGCTTGGACAGAGCAAACCATGACAAGCTTCAGTTTCAAGGCCTTGCAAACTCATTACAAAGCCTCTGGCCTGTATTAAGGAACAGCAATACATATAGCGTTACAATACTTGCAGGGTGACAGCATTGTCAGCACAGATGGTGTTTGGTATATTTTATTGGAAGGAACTGGAGGATATGGATGGGTTAAATCACGTGACAAGACTTGGAGTGGGAGATTACACTCATATGGACTAATAATAAGACACTTGTTTCTATAAGCTGGGGCCTTGCCAGTTGCTTTGGGAAGAACAGACGAAGGGAAGAGATTTTGAGTAATAGATATTAACAGGAAAAAAGCCACCTGCAAAAGGCATATGTGATCCTAGGATATGCTGCATATGCTAACTTCAGTAGGGATAGGAAAAATAAAGGCTGCTGCTCACCAATGGATCCTCATCCAAAATTATCTGTTTTGTTCTGGATGCTAGTGTTCAGGAAAAGACTTATTCTGGTTGGAGCAGGTGAGAAATGGAGAAACCGTGTGTGAGTTAATAGCATTTGCTCCAGGGACTACAACTTGCATTAACTGAAGGCCAAAGGTCTAAGGAATGCAGTGTGAAAACATCAGGGACATCAAGGTTGCCTTGGGCTGCTAACTTAGGTATGGAGAACACAAGCTGCATTTGCAGGGTTCTGTGCTGAAGAGAGTAATTTTTATTTTTTTTCTTGGGTTGTTGGTGACTGCATGAAAGCGTCTGTATTGTTTCTACAAGTGGATGTGTCTGCCTGCCACTGTGCTACCCTATGTGGATACCAATTTGGATCTCCGTTAGAGTTGGGATGTGTGTCCATGGGATAGATATTTCTTAGAAGAGTTGGTGCACCTAGTCATGTGAACTATAGTTGTCACAGGAAATGAATGATTTAATGAATCAGGTTCATGAAAGGTGTGTGTAATTGTAAAATCAGCTCAGGAGGCCATGAGGGGTTTGTAGTGGAGGCTCAAGCTCTTTAAACTCTACACTTAGTGTGACTTCTGCCTGACTCTCTCAGGTTCTCAGTGTAGATGGATGGTGGATGAGTTCATCCACCTCTTCTCTCCCCCCCACCCCCCCCCATTTATTTTTTGGTCTCCCAAGCAGAGATTGATTGGGAAATCAGCTGTAAGATTGAAGTAATTCCTATGCCTCAGAGTTGTTTGAAGAAGCTATTTGCTACAGTGCATCTCAGCTGGGCTTCAGTTCTCACCTCGTTACACACTTCATTCTTTCCTAATGCTTTCTGTTTCAGTGTTTAACTCTCATTAACCATTTCTGTCTTCTGTAACTGTAATTCTGTTTTGGTGCTCCTTTCATGGTTTTAGCACTGTCTTTTCTTATTAAATCTCTCTAATCTCTCTCTCTCTCTCTCTCATATCTTGGTCTAACTCATCATTTAAACTGTTCTAAGCTTTTTGTTTTCTACCTTTTCTCTTTGCTGTTTCTTGCAGTTCATCCCATCACAAAATTCTTCTTTCTTTTTTTTTTTCTTTCTTTTTTTTTCTCTTCCTCTTGGTTGTAAATATCACCTGATCTTGTTACCATTGGCGTAGTAGAAAGTCTCATTACAAAAATCAAAACGTCAAAGGAGTCCATTTGCTACTAATATCTTTGACAGTTCTTTAAATCAAAGGTTGAACTAGAAATGTTATCCATATTTGTAATTTCATGGGAGCACCTGCTCTTGCTGTTCTATTATGTACAAAAAAATGATGTAAATTTCTGTTGTCTCACCTGTTATGTTGGATTTGATGTGTTTGTGTGGTGTAAGATGAGGCTTCATTCTGTGCAACATGGTTTTCCTCTTGCTTATAATTAATAGCAAAGGCAGTTAAGAAGCAGCCTGGCTCCCTCTGCCAGAGAGATACACATGTCTGCAGGTCTAGTGTTTCCTTAGACAACTTGGCAAGGATTTTGGCTGCAGGGAGTCTTTGGCAAATATGCTACATCAGGGCTCCATGAGGTTTTGTTTATAGGGCTTCTGGAGCATTTCAGACTCTACAACCCAGGTATTTTTCCTGGCAATTTTGTGGAAAATAATATCAATGAGATTTGAATTTGAGTCTCTTTCAACTCAATGTAAGTCAGCTTCCCTAGAGATAGATACTCACAGCTCCCAGTGACTCTGGCAGCCTGTGGGGTTGTGCATTACTACATCCCAGGTCCTTGGGGTGGGCAGCAATGATGCATAAAGAAACTCTCAGCCCAGTTCATGTATTTCTTTGCATTTGGTGGCACCCTGAGCTGCAAAGCCCCTAGTGCTGCCTTGCTTCATCATGTGTCAGTGCCTTGAGATTACAGAACTATTTGTCTCTTTTTCCCTTTGTGTTTTCACACAAGCTGTTAATATTTCTTTAATTAAGGAGTTAGTTGTTTGGAAGAGAGGAAGTGAGAAGTTAAATTGTAGTGAAAATGGGATGTGAGGTGAGGTGCAGTGCTACTGGTGGTGAAGTTTCTCCAAGGAATAGGGCCTAAAGGGGGAAAGGTCAAGTCTTAACTGTATTGTAACTATGTTTAATTATGGAGATCCAGTTTGTTTGATGAGTTGAATAAAAAGGCAGATTTTTTATTTTCTTATTTATTGCATATTGTATGTACGTATTTATTTATTAATTTAATTTTCTTTAAAACAGAAGAGGCTCTAGTTGGAAGCATACAGTGAAAGAAAACAAAGCAAACAAACAAACCTTACACAGGATTCATGTGTGCCTCAGCTTCAGGCTCTGTTTGAGATCTCTGGGAACACTGTTTGTCCTTTTTTCGGTAAACCAAACTGGGGTTAATGACAGCTGCTTCAGGCACTTGAATGCCAGGTATCTTGTAGCTTGCACATGAACTATACTGAAACAAAACTATTAAATTTTGTCATCTGGCTTCTAACATCTCTCTATCAATCTAAAGATAGATACTTAAAAGTCCCTGTGTTGCAGATTCCTCTCCTGTTTTCCATGTCAATTACAATTATGTTGCTTTTGAACAAGATGGTTGCCAGCAGGGAATAGTGAGAAGTGCCAAATTAAATTTCAGATACATTTTGTTCTTTGTTTGTGGTGAGAATTATTTCTCTCCTCTCAGTGAAGTGATCTCAGATATCCTCTAAACTCTATGGTGTCAGTTTAGTGGAGTGTTGAAGGCTATCTTAGTGGCTAGCACTGGTGATGCCTCCTTCTAGGTCCTGGCATAGACCTGTTTTGGAAAAAAATAAAATAAAAAATAAAAAGGTTAGGGAGACCTTTCATCCAAGCCACCGTTAGACCACTGTCTTGGTACCCTTCTACCTACTAGAGAGACGCTTCTGGGAAATGGGGGAGAATTCTCAGTTTTCACATAAGTAGTTGTTATAGCCCTAGTTTCAGGTGAATGATGCCAAAATGTGACAATGCAAATTATAGCTAAGTGAGAAAGAAATGTGTGTAAACCATTTCACAAAGCGGTTGAGGTTGGAAGGTATCTCTAGAGATTTTCTAGTCTAAACCCTTGTTTAAACAGAATTACCTAGAGCATGTTACACAGGATCACATCCAGGCAGGTTTTGGATGTCTCCAGAGAAGAAGATTCCACAACCTCTCTGGGCAGCCTGTTCCAGTGATCTGTCACCCAAATCACAGAGTTATTCCTCATATGGTGATGAAACCTTGTGTGATTCAATTTATACCTATTACTCCTTGTCCTATCAGTGGCCACCACTGAGAAGCGTTTCATCCCATCCTCTTTACATTGTCCCCTCAGGTATTTGTAGAGTTTGATAAGATCCCCCTCTCAATCTTCTCCTCTCTAGGCTAAACAGGCCCAAGTTGTTTAGTCTTTCCTTGCTCCAGTCCTCTAATCATCTTTGTGGCTCTACACTGAACCCTCTCTGGAAATTCTATGTCCCTCTTGTACTGGGGAGCCCAGAACTGGACACATTTCAGGTGTGACCTCACCAGAGCTGAATAGAGGGGAAGGATCCCCTCTCAAACTGCTGTCCACACTCCTGGTACAGGCTAAAATCCAGATCTGACACATTTAAGTCAGACAGCTTTGAGTAACTTTTGGTGATTGGCTAATAACTGATCCTTCACCTCCAAGCAAATGATTTTAAATCTTTTTTTTGTTTGTTTCTTTTTTTTTTCTTTTTTCCCTGTATTTAAATATTTGTTTCACAAATACAGTTTTGGGGTTCATTAGAATGCTGTGGATAGCCTCTGTGTGCACAAGTCCTATCTCTGTGCCCATTTTGCATTTTAGTCAATTAGCTTAACTGCTATTAAGAAGAGACACTAATTGGTGGGGAAGGAGAAGACAGATAGCAACATGCCAATAACAATTAAGGTAATGCATCACATATAACCTATGCAAGTCTTTTTCTTTAAAAAAAAAAAAAATCTTTTCAGATGTTGAGTAAGCCTAATAAGAACCTTGCAAGGTAGACTTGTAAGGTAGATTATGTAACATAATTTGTACATTCATTTACATTTACATGTAACATTATAATGTTACAAATTCATAATTTGTAACATTCATACTTTGTATGAATGGATAAAGTAGAACACAAACTATATGCTGTGTGTAGTTTTACACAATAAATCACAGCTAGAGATCAGGAAAGATGAAAGAAGTTCCAGGCCCATCAAGAGACTGTGATGCTTTCTAGCAGAGAACAATAATTATTGACTTTTCTGGGCAAAACTCATCCACAGTGCTGTTGATCAGGGATTTGGTACAAGGGATGGAAAATAAAAATTAAGAATCTTTGTATTCTCTTTGAAAGGACAATAATTGTTAATTTTGTCAATGGCTAATTGTGTTTGACTTGCTTGTGTCTTCAGGCCCTGAAGCAGAGCTTCCCCCAAGAGCTTCCCCCAGTTTAGATGGGGTCCCACTTTTTGCAATCTAACCAAACCTCTTTTTACTCTGTCTTGTTGTTCCCCAGAATGCAACAGCAACAACAGCAACGTCGGCTGTTCACAGCTGCCCTCTTGGCACTTGTTTTCATTCTGGCAGCAGTGAGTACCACTGAGGCTGGCAAGAAAGAGAAGCCAGGTAAGGTCCAGTTAACCCAGGGTTAATCCCTGAGCTACATTGGATGTGTGGAAGAATGTCATATGTTTTTTGTTTTGTTGTGAAATTCAGAGCATTCATTAACCTTTTAATATGCAGGATAGGGATTTGTAGCTTTGACATGTTATTCTATATTAAATAGGAAAACTGAAATTAATTTCCTTGAAAGCTAGCAGCTTGAGAGCCCCAGTGACAGGAGTCCTCAGTTCATCAGAGACTGGGTATTGCAAAGCAGCTTTCCTTAAAATTTGCTCTGGGAATGGGTTCCTGCTTGACTTAAGGAGAGCCACATGTGTGATGAAAGAGCAGTTACCATGTTATTTGTTCAGTGTGGTATAAGTAAATACTACACCAATGCTGCATGATATGGAAATCTTTCAGCAAAGGTTTGAACTAACTCAATGCTACAGATGGACAGCCAGACATCCAGCACAAAGTGCTCTCTGTTAGTGATGAACTCAGACTTCATTGCAAGAGAAACAGGCCTAGAGTGGAAAACTCACATCCGCCAAACCCAGTTTTGATGGTTTTTAAGGATCGCATCCTAATGGCGTTTTTCTTGAGGTCTTATTATTTACAGGCTGCTAACATACTGATTAATAATGCTTTGTGAGCATTCCCATTAAAAATGAGCGTTTCTAATCACCGTGGCTGTAAGGAAGTATGAGAAAATATGCAATAACTAAAAGGCAAATCCACTCCATATAAGGTTATCTACAATTACTTGTGTTATTTGGGGGACTAATTTATTATTTTTGTGAACATTTCAATTTCATAACATTGCTGCCTTTTCTCATCAGAGTTGAGTGTAAGGATTTAAATGAAATCTTGCTTCTTACTTTTGTCCCTGAGTAACAAAACCACTATAGGTTATCAGCGTTTCAAGCTGTACTGATAAGATTCTGACCATTTACATGCAGGAAGATCAATAACCATAAGTAACTTGCATTAACGTGCCATGAACCCCGTGCCCTTCTCCATGTAGTTTGTTCTTTGCCATTAGAGACATATTGTAACATGGTGTTCACCAAGTGAAAAGCCTGTAACCCACTGCTATTCCCTAGAGGTGCTCAAATCCCAATACACATAAATTCCTTATCTGTACAGTGTGGAGTGCTTCAGATGAAACTGAAAGTATTTACATCAGTTATGGGGAACAGAGAAGAGTCCCTTTCTGAGTGCTCTCTCCTTGTTTTGGTCAGTGGTCCCTGAGGGGGGTCTAGATGACTCCCCATTCTGAAGGTGAGAATCTTCTCTGACTATTAGATGTAGTAGTGGGACTGAATTTGAACAATCCACCCTGCTTTGGAATCCAAGCCTAAGAGGCTGACCTGGCTCTGCACAACTGTGAAAAGGATGGCAGATCTTTTGCTGGTGAAGCAGTTTTACAAACCATTTCCTTAGTCACCCTTTCAGGTGCTGTGACTGTTTAACATGTTTAGTAAAGGGAAGCTGCTCTATCAGCTGTGGATACTGACCACTTCTCTTGATTGGATTTGCTTCCTTGTCTTTGTTCAGAGAAAAAGGCGAAGAAGTCTGACTGTGGGGAATGGCAGTGGAGTGTCTGCGTGCCCACCAATGGGGACTGCGGCCTGGGAACACGCGAGGGCACCCGCACTGGGGCGGAGTGCAAGCAAACCACCAAGACTCAGAAGTGTAAAATTCCCTGCAACTGGAAGAAGCAATTTGGAGGTAAGCATTGCAGTCTCAAGAGGCTGGATTTTTTTTTTTTTTTTCTTAAATGTCTTGAAGGAAGCCTGTATTTTCTGCTTAGCTCTGTAAATGTCTGTGAAGGTGGTACCTCCACATTTCAAGTCCATTGCAACTAGAGCATTTAAAGCATCAGAAGGCATCTTCCCCAGAGCAAAGCAGCTCCTCCAGCAGAGTCCATATAATCTACTTATTTTAAAATCAGTATTCCAGCAGCATGCTTAAATCTATTTTCCTGTTGTGTACAACCCTATTTAAGGCAGCAATGTAAGCGTCATCTGTTCTCTCACAGCTGTGAATCTCTGCTGTGGTTACCACAGGCTTTACGTGACCTTGTGATATGTGATTTTCAGCATGGAGCATGGGTGGCACACTGTGTGTGCATTGAGAGGAGTGAATGGAGACCAGGGTATTTCAACCATATTATTCAGTTCATAAGGTTCCTTTATAACAGTTCAGAAATATGTGTTAGACAAGATGTCTGTCCAGGACTTCGATTACTCTTGCAAATTTGACTTTTTTTTTTTTTCTTCCAGTAAACAGCTTGTATGACTTTGACATCAGTGTGACCTTACCAAAGCAATCAGTGCAGCAGTTTCAGACTTGACAAGTTCATAGTTACACATACATTCTTGAAACTGTTCACGCTTTGTCTGCTAACCTTTGGCATCATAGAAATGGAGGAACAATCATATAGAATGTGAACAATATTTCCCGTTGTTGTTTTTTTTCCTTTTTTTTTTTTTTCCTTTATTGTGTATCTCCCTATTTGATTGCATTTTCTTTTTATCTATATTATGAACTGACAATAATGCAGTATCCATGCAAAAGCAAGATTCCATCCTAAAGCATTTCTGTGCCAGGGGAGACAGCAATTGTTACTGCAAATCATCTTTATTTTTTTTTCTGGGATTCCTTTCACCAGTTGCATGATCATTTTGTCTACAAGCACTGTCTGTTTGTGATTTACTATTGGATTCTTAACATTTTTACTTTCATCCTGTCATTCTGTTTTAAAAATTGCCATTTACTTACTCATTGCAGCGGAGTGTAAATACCAGTTCCAGGCCTGGGGAGAATGTGACTTGAATACTGCCCTGAAGACTCGAACTGGAAACCTAAAGAGAGCTCTCCATAATGCTGATTGCCAGAAGACTGTTACAATCTCAAAGCCCTGTGGGAAGCTTACCAAACCGAAACCTCAAGGTAAATTCCATTTACAGAAAGTTGTAAACTAGTTCACTCAGATCAATGATGTCCCACATGCTTCAGTAGGAACTCAGTGCTACAAGAGATTGTACTGTAATGGCCTTTCCTCATTCTGCATTGCTCCTGTCTGCCAGCTATCGGGTCGGCAATATTACTGGGTTGTATAGTCAAGGCAGACTAACAGATGAGGTGAGATGAAGATCAGGGTCCCAGTTTCAACCTTACACTGTATGTGTTGCCATTAGTTTGCTGATGCAGGCCTTCAGAGTTCAGATGCTTTTCATAACTTGCATGTTGACAGGAACACCACAGTAATAGCATGCAAAAACACCTCTTGGTGAGATAAACACACCTTTCATATTGGCATTTGGTATTGAGTAATTGAGGAAAAGGACTGTTTTCCTTCTGAACACATAGTGTTGAAGGGATGTTTTGCTCACTGCATGCTGAAGAGAGGGTATGCAGATGTCCTGCACATTGTGGGTAGTATATTCTTTATTAAAAGACAGCAGGGAGGAGAGTATGGAATGTAAATGTCTTTTATAATTGGAAGTGACAGTGTAATTCCAGGTATACACAAAGGCATTTGCCCTGCATTTTGATTCCTGGTGTCCTAAATCAGACAAACTTGTGGTTTATTTATTTATTTTTCTTTCTAATCATTGAGGCCTTTTAATATACTCTTTTGTTGGAATAATTGTTATTTATTTAGGATGACTTATAGTGGGAGCTAAAGCTGTGAGATCTTGTTTGAACTACCAAAGTAATGTGTTTTTAAGTGGATGATGCAAGCTATGCTACCCTGGCATTTATTATGCTGAAAATCAGCTAGGTTAAACATAGACTTTGGGTATTTGGATAATAATTATTTATAAAAATAAATGTGATTAGGAGTGACACGTGGAACTTGGATAAGCAGTTTTCAAACTGTGGATAGCAGTGCACTAATGATCTGTAGGGTACCTGCAAGTGACCTGTTCTTCTTGTGCAACCCAAGAGGTGTCTGATTAGGTGACAGATGCTTTCTGTATGTGTGCGTGATTCCATGTACTTTGCAGTCAGTGCATCTGTAACTGGCCTTCCTTGCACACTTTCCATTGAGCTATCAGATAAGTGCTGAGTCTAGAACCTGTGCAGATAATACAGACTGTGAAGCAGAAATTATACAACTAGATTTTCAGAGACCAGCTGACTTGGTTGAGTTGACAGCAATAAACATCTTCCTTCGGGGACAGAAGTGACTGAGTGGGAATAAAAGCAGCAAGGGGGCTTTGAGCTGTGTGATTTTATTGTTCATTAGTTTGGAAGGAAAGACATTTTTTTTAAAGCAAGTTTTCATGCTTAAGTGGCATTTGGAATTTTATTGAATGAAGCTTCCTGTTGTGCTGCCAGAGGAGCTCAACCACTCGAGCCACTTGAAGCCTTCTGCCTTGTCCTGCCCCTGTGGAGTCAGTGGGCTCTATCGATGGCTGTTGGAAGAAAAGGGAGACAAAGCAGAGCTTTGGTGCTGCATTCTTTTGTGAGAATGGTGCTGTTGGGTGGTACAGGGTCATTTCAAGTTACGGTTTTAAATGCATGTCCTAGCAGAGCTTGTGTAATTTCTGGACTGGGATTCCTTTTAACTGATTCCGGATTTTAGTGAGTTTGTACTGATCCTGAAAGTTGGATCGTGACTGGCTGCAGCAAGATAATTATGTGGTGCAAGTTAATTAACAAACCTGAATTCATTTGATTTGAAAGATTGCAAATAGAGAAATAAGTACAAATGTAGGTTTGCAGTCATAATAAACATGGGCAGAAATTCTGCTCTCCTGTTTTGTCCTGGAAATCTTACAGCATCTTCCTGTGTGCCACCTGCTTGTTCATCTGCTGTTCACATCAGTAGGAGCACCAAGCATGGAAGTCAACACTTGCAGTTTGCCTGGGCCTTGAGCTAAAGATAAGAAATCACTATTGCAGATATGTGAATAACTGCATAGGAGCTATGCTGGAAAGTGTGTTGACCGCAGTAGGAGGAACTAGAATAAGAAGTTAGGTCAAGCAGAAGAATACTGTGTGAAATGTTGTGCCCTACTGAACTTTATTTTTGAGTTAAAAATCGGAGTGCTGACATGTAGAGTATGTCAGTTTTCTTCCTGAGGAGAAGGAAATTACAGACTGGACATAAGTCCCTACCCACATCTAGGTAAAGGAAAATTCAATCTATAGTTAGAATAGACCATATTTAATTCTTTGGAACCAAGAAGTAAGATCTAGATTACTGTTTGAGCACTTGAAATGAACTACAGGTATATATTAGGCTCCTTTTTCTCCCATAGCTTCACATCAGTGGCTCGAGACTACAAGAGGAAAAAACAAAAAACAAACATATAATACATTATTTGGAAGCAGCAGTCTGTTTCCTGAGATGTAATGTTGTGTCAGGTCTGTATATATATGCAGCTAGATCTGTAAAGGCTGCTCAACCGCTGTCAGTTCCCACTGCGATTGCCTGGAGTAGAAAGGCAGTGGCTCTCTAGCATTGGTGAGTGCTGGCAGCAGAATAGTAAGTGAGGGTCCTATTGATTAAAGGAATCTGTTCTACTGCTAAACTGTTACATTTCAGACTGGTGTAAGCTTCAAGAACTGCATCACTGAGTACATCTCCGACAGCAGTAGCTTGGGAGTGTGAAAACTGGATGTGAACCAACTAAGAATATTTCACAGAAAAGTAGCAGTATATTCAGAAAAAGGGTTTTAATAATTTTACTGATTAGCCCTCTTTCCCATGCCCTGATTTTTTCCTTGTATTAGATCATTTTTGTAGCCTCTTCATTACATCACTTTTCATTTTAATTTGTTAATATAAATAGGGTCAGTAAAAGTCCCCATTTAGCTTCTCCAATCAGTTGTGGCTCTTGTTACTTTCTGTCACTTGCCTGTTTTTAAAGGCAGCGCCTCCGACTTAAGTATTTTATTGTAGAACAATTTGCCCATGCTAAGAATATTTTCTACTGGACTTGCCCAAATTCCTTTTATTATTACTAAATTATATTTGAGATTAAATGACTGGACTGTACAAAGTGTTCCAAGCATGTTCTCTACAGATTTGTATTGAAAAGGAAAACAGCATTGTAATACTCCTTTTTGTTGTTCATCATTGTGCTCAGTAAGTAAATTAATGTTTTCCTTCTGATCACAGCTTGCATGTGGAACAGCTATCTTTATCTGAGACCTCACAATTTTCCCCAAATCTTATTTAAAAGAAATAAAATAAAAATACGATTAGTTAAGAACTCAAGAATGAATCTAAGTGGGTAAGTCAGATTTTTTTCGTCTAGACTTGCCCAATGCAGTATTGTGCCTCAGATTTCACCAGGCACATTTCCTTAGTTTGGTTGAAGTTCTTCCTCACCTTCGCTGCTCTTTGAGAATAATACAAATGATTTGATGTCACCTGTAACTGCTGTTCTCCTGTTGCTTAACCACCTTCCAACCTCATGAACCTAGGAAACCTATGATGGTAGCATGAATCCTGTATCTCCTTCATCTCACTCAATTTGGAATATGAGTGCTGTTTCGTGGGCATTTGACCCGTGCTTAAGAGAAAGGAAAACTGCATCTACAGGAAAATCCTAAGGATTAGCATTTTGCAGATGTATTGATTTAAGTTTTTTTTGTTTGTTTGTTTGTTTGTTTTTTGAGGAACTTCGTTCTGAAGCAAAACTTCTGATAAACTAAGCCAGGAGATCATCATTAACCTTAGGAATTAATGATTGCCTGATAAACTGGTGATCTAAGAGTTTTTATGGATTTGTTTTATCATTAGTCATCATTCATGGAAAGGACTTAAAATCTTTACTAAGTACTCTCATTAGTTTGGAAACTAATGTTACTTCCTGGATAATTTTTCTTTAAACATTTGTGTTTTTTCCTTATTAGTAGTTGCTCCGTATTGGTGTTTTCCTTCTGAACAGCTGACGCTCTAAGTATGGATTGGTTAGTCTTGGAGCTTAGAGATTGGAATAGGAGAATTATTTGAGAACCTTTGCTGTATGTAGGACTTAAGGGAGAAAGCAGATGATGAATCAGGACTCTGAATTTTATTTGTATTTCTGTTGAGCTCTTTTCTCCTTAGTTTTGCTGAAGTGTTCTCAGATTGGTCTTGGGCTGCTGTGCTGAAATACAGTTATCACACGATAAAAAATGGTGAATGTTCTTGAATGCTGTTTTTGACAGAGATTGTCAGTGATGTGACAGCAGTATCCCAGACACTAGGGTTTGTGTATTTAGTGCACAAATGAGGTCATGAGAAAATCCATCACAAAGGCTGGAAAAGATCAAAGGATAATTTTTATCACAGGATCCTCTTGGAGGCAGCCACCTCTCCTTTAGCACACACAATTGCATATTCTAATCACTGTCTGAAGTGCCGGTGATGTTCAAGGTCTCCCTAACCCATCTTGACAGATGTGAAAGAATCAGGCACTTCTGTTGAGCAGCTGCTCTGATGGCCAACTTCCACTGAAGAGCAGAAAATGCTTCCGACAAACTCCATCTGGCCTACTTCACAGCCACCCAAATGTGATTGATGATTGTTTGGGTTCCAGCCAGCCAGAAAGTAAAAGAATGGGGTATTGTCAGGATTCAGGAAACATTTTGCTTTTACTGCTGAGAGAGGAGAAATTTATTTTTATTGAGCTAGGTAGCCTGATAGGCTTTATTTCTTTTTTCACTATGTCTTTCTGTCACTCTCATTCTTCCTGTCTCTCTCCATAATTCTTGTACTTTTAGCTACTTATTCTTCTGATAAAGATGAAACTAAATAGGATAAGCAGTCTACCTGCTCTTTCAGCTGTGTACCCTTCATTTTTTTCCTTCAGCTACTTTATTCTCTGATAACTTTCTCACCCAGATGTATTTAGTTCTCAGTATATCTCCCTTCACAAGTCTTTATCAATTTACAGTGTATCTGATTTGTGAGTTTCTTAATTCTGGCTCAGATCAGCCTTTGACAC